GAGAATCGCTTGAACCCAGGTGGCTGAGGTTGCAGTGAGCTGAGATAGCACCATTGCACTCCAGCCTGGGTGACAAAAGCAAAACTCCATCTCAAAAAAAAATCCAGATTAAAAAATACGTGGATATTGCATGTGAGCTCGGAATCTGAAAAATCTGAGTGGAGAACAAAAGAAATGTGGGCTATTTGAAGAGTTTAAATTAAACTTCCCCAAGTCAAATGCCCACAGAGAAGGGACATTTCCTGGGTAGCCTGCCCCTCATTAACTGCTCTGATGCGGCACACCTCTCGCTGATCCACCTTCACAAAGTTGTTACGGCAACGATGTGAAGTCTGAAGTCACACTCATTTGCAGCCGCGGGATCAAAAATTGCATCTGGCCTTGCAAATCTAGAATCTGTTCTTTTGGGGAGGGTCTCTTCCACTTCCGCTCTGATGAGAGGTCTGACGTCTTGGGGTGTTTTTTCCAGGTAGGATTATGGTTCGTGCAGCTCCTGCCCTCTCAACTCTCTAGAACTGTTGTGGTCCAAGGGAGAGGAAACCCTGGCCCAGAGGACAAAATCATTTAGTTGCAGTCTTCATACTGGACCCCCAATCTTGACTCTCGGGGAGGTCGCTGTCCCCTAGAATCTCAGGCTAGCCCTTCTAGGGGCTCGAAGCAAGACCATTGGGCACATTTCCGGGCTTCCAGAGTACTCAGGAAGGCACCTGTCCTACCTGGGGGCTGAGAAGCACCTGACGCTGGCTGGCTGCCGGGCAGAGCCTCACCCACAGCAACACGAGACGTGGACTGCAATACCTGGCCTCCCTCGCTTGCTGGCCAGTGAACGCAGGTAAATCTTGCACCTCAGAGCCTGCTTTATTCGCTAAAACCTATGGCTGTAAAAACTCACCGAGGTACCAAATAAAAAGAGATGCTTAACCATTAATTAGCAGCTACGATCACACGTGCCGCCGTCCGAACCGCAGAGAAGCCGGCCAGAACCCAGTCCCCCTCCGGGGGCTCGCGGGGCGGCCGGGGCAGCGCCCCTCCGCTGGGACCCAGCCTAGGGGGTCTCGGGGGCGGCCGCGCTCTATCGACGGCCCTGCCCGGCCCTCGCCCACCGGCTCCGGTCCGCAGGACTCCCCTCGACCCGCGCTCCTACCCACTGGCACCCCGCAGCCTCCAGGGCACGCTGTGCGCGCGACTCAGCGGCCAGACTCACAAGCGGCAACCGCCCCCAGAGGTAGCCGAGCCGCGAGGAGCCCGCAGCGCACAGGAGCAAAGGCCGCTGGAGCGCAGCTACCTAACGCCCTCTAGAGCCAGGAGCGGGCGACGAGAGTTGGGGAGGGGGCGGGGAGGAAAGGGGGCAGGGCGGGGCGGAGCCGAGGGCCGTTGGGGAGACGCGCGGGGCGCGGCCGAGCAGAAGGCCGCTGGGGAGACGCTCGAGGCGGGGTAGGGCGGGGCTGAGCCGAGGGCTGCCGTGAAGATGCCCGGGTGTGGCTACGCCAGAGGCTCCCACCAAATGCCCACCGAGAGGAAAACGCACTGGCAACCCAGCCTCTGCCAGACAGGAAAACTACAAATATTTCATTATCAAACTGCTACTGGCTAGTCACCAAGAATTACAGTGACATACAAACATTTAGGAAAATCAGAAAATGAACATTAATCAAAAGAAAGGAAGGAACACATGACACAGCCTCCTCTAGACCCCCTGATATTCCAGTGCATTGTCACTAGGAGCACCACCTTCGGATGCCAAGTTTGCAGAAATACCAACATACGTTCATAACATTTATCACTATTGTAAGGGTTATTGCTAAGTTTAAAGTGAGGAAACTGAGGCCTGCATGAGAAAAATTAGACGCTAATTTATTTACCTTTCCGATGAGGCTCCACCGGAAGACTAGGGAAGTTGGGACCAGAGGCTTCTCAGGGTTGGGCTTATATAGGGAGGGAAGGAACTCTGATTGGCTGTGGAGAAACAGGACGTGGACGTGGCAAGCTGCTATAGGTAGGTAGGTGGGATTTCCGGTGAGCCAGCTGGACGGGGCCATACGCTATTGGGCAGGTTTTGGTGGGGCTTCTTTTAAATTTTGGCGGGGTTTTCCAAGGGCAGGCTACGTGCCCAGTGCAGAGTTTAGTGTTGAGTGCAGAGGTGGGCGTGGTGAAGCTAGATGCTGAGTGCAGATTCTGGTGACATAATTTCAGGTGTGGAGAGGGATGGGCATGTCCGAGCTCCCGGAGAGGCAACAGGCCTTACATTCTGACCCTTTTGATGATATAGGGTGCCACTTTTTTCTGGCTACTTCCTGCTGAATAGGGGCGGAGTGAGGTGGAGAGGTTAGTTGGCTGGTGCCTCAATTGGGACTTGGATATAGGGGTGAAGTATTATTTGGTTTACAGCTACCCTGGAAATTTTTTTTATGCGGGCCTGTAAAAAGGGGGCTAGTATTAGTAGAAGACACACAACGATAACTGGAGTGATAATGGGAGCTAGCCAGGTAAGCATGGGGGATTGCCACCAGCTGAGAGACGAGACTGGTGCGCTCTGCTTTTTGCGGAGGTTTTTTTGGAGGCAACAGAGAGTGTTGACATTTTTTTTTTTTTTTTACAAGGCCTGTTTCATTGATGTAATAGCAGCACTGCTCCTGGAGAAATAGATGGGTACTTCCTTTTTCTGCCATTAGTAAGTCTAGGGTCCGTCCATTCTGGAGAGTCACCTGAGCCAGTGACGTGATTTGTCGCTGGAGGGAGTGTAAAGAGGCAGCTGATGCTTTAATAGCCACATGGAACTTGTCTTCCAATTGAGCGGCTGAAGTGACGCTGTAGCCCATGGCACCACTCCCTATTCCAGCTGCTACTAGAGAGGATGCTAAAGAGAGGCCAACTACTATTGGAAGGAAGACGGCTCGTTCGTGCCAGTGATTAGGGTATGGTGTGATAAGGGATAGGAACTCGGCTTGTCCGTACACTTGTAACTGCGGGACTAGTGTGATGGGCACACAAGGGAAAGGGAGGGATGTATCAATAACTTTGGCTGTTCTGTAGCAGAGAAAGAGATTTTGAAAGCACACCTTGAACAGCAGGATACCCGTTAAGGTGGTATTAGGCTTCTCTTTCTCCCATTCTCTCTCTCTTCTTCTCTCTCTCTTCTTTCTCTTTCTCCCTCTCTTTCTTTTCTTTTTCTCTTTCTCTCTCCTTCTCTCTCTCTTCTTTCTCTCTTTATCCTCTCTCTCTCCCTCTTTCTCCTTCTCTCTCTCCTTTCTTTTCTCTCTCTCCTCTCTTCTTTCTCTCTCTCCTTCTCTCTTTCCTTTCTCTCTTTTTCTCTCTCCTCTCTCTTTCTCCTTCTCTCTTTCCCTTCTCTCTCTCCCTCTCTCTCTCTCCCCTTCTCGCTCTTCTTTCTCTCCTTTCTCTTCTTTCTCTCTCCTTTCTCTTCTTTCTCTCTCTCTTTCTCTCTTCTTTCTCTCTTTCCTTCTCTCTCTCTACTTTCTCTCTCTTTTTCTCTCTCTCCTCTTTCTTTTTTTCTCTCTCTGTACCTGCTTAATTGTTTGTTGTAGACTTGGTGAGAAAAAAAGGGGCTGCACAAAGTGGAGTAACACTTTGGGCCTTATGTGTAAGGATTGGTAAATTTTAGCAATAATTTTTGGGGCCTGTTCCCGGGGAAGGGTGATTCTGTTTAGGAAGATTTAACCCTGATTAGACTCAGTTCCCCCTTTTAATATGAGGGCCTATTTCTTTGATGGCAAGTAAACTGGTGGCATGGCCATGGTGAGGAACAGGACTGGAGTGGGAACTAGCCTGGTACTGGTTAAGGATTTTGCTGCTACATTTGCCCTTGCATTGCCCCAGAAAATGGCATCCTGTTGGGCCTGGTGCCCTCGGCAGTGGATGACGGTGACCTCTTTAGGCAATGATAGGGCCTGTAGGAGATTAGAGATTTGGGTAGCATTAATTATGGGGGACCCTTTTGTAGTAAGGAATCCCGCTCTCTCTAGAGGGCAGCATGGTAATAAGGGCAGCAGTGGGTAATAAGAAAAGCATACTTGGAGTCAGTATAAATATTTGCTCGCTTTCCCTGTGCTAACATGAGAGCTTGAGTTAAGGCAATGAGCTCTGCCTTTTGCGATGTGGTTTTTTTTTTTGTTTTTTTTTTTGTTTTTTTTTTTTTTTTTTGAGACGGAGTTTCGCTCTTGTTACCCAGGCTGGAGTGCAATGGCGTGATCTCGGCTCACCGCAACCTCCGCCTCCTGGGTTCAGGCAATTCTCCTGCCTCAGCCTCCTGAGTAGCTGGGACTACAGGCACGAGCCACCATGCCCAGCTAATTTTTTGTATTTTTAGAAGAGACAGGGTTTCACCATGTCGACCAGGATGGTCTCGAACTCTCGACCTCGTGATCCACCCGCCTCGGCCTTCCAAAGTGCTGGGATTACAGGCTTGACCCACCGCGCCCGGCTGCGATGTGGTTTTATTAGGGATGCAGTGTGCCTCGAGGGTGGCTGAATCTGTAACTACTGCATAGGCTGCTTTTCGCTGCCCCTCAGCTGTCACTATTGAACTCCCATCTACATAAAATGTAAGATTTGGGTTAGGTAGGGGGTGGTTAGACAAGTCTTCTCGAGATTTAGTAAGTGCCTCTATTAGTTCAGGACAAGAATGGGCTGGGGAGGGGGAATGGGATGGAAGGGGAAGCAGGGTAGCTGGATTGAGTGGAGAAGTGGGATGAAGGCTGACCGTAGGATTTTTAATAAAGAGTAGATGAAATTCCTGTAGGCAAGAGGGTCCTAGGTGAGCGAGAGATTTGTAGAGAGAAGGTCAGTTAGCCAATGGGGAGAAAACACTGAGATGGGCTGGCCTAAGGTAAGTTTTAGGGATTCCTTAGTGAGTTCTGTTGCCGCCCCCAGGGCTTGCAGGCAAGGCTGCCATCCCCTGAACAAGGAGTCGAGTTGTTCCGATAAGTAGGCTACTGGATGATACATGGGGCCCAGGGTTTGGGTTAAGACCCCAACCGCATCTTAGCGCGGTTGTAGTGTTCGCCGCTGCTCTCCGAGCTTCGCGATGCCGCCCAAGGACGACAAAAAGAAGAAAGACGCCGGAAAGTCGGCCAAGAAAGACAAAGACCCAGTGAACAAATCCGGGGGCAAGGCCAAAATGAAGGACTTATCAAACTGGTTTCAAAGCACAGAGCTCAAGTAATTTACACCAGAAATACCAAGGGTGGAGATGCTCCAGCTGCTGGTGAAGATGCATGAATAGGTCCAAACAACTGTACATTTGGAAAAATAAAACTTTATTAAATCAAAAAAAAAAAAAAAAAAAGACCCCAACCGCAATCCCCTGTTTTGCATCAGTGAACAAATGGAAGGGGCGGCTGAGATCTGGCAGTTGGAGTGGGGGTGCTGTGGATAAGGCAGTTTGTAGGGTTTTAAAAGCCTGCTTTAATACCCCAGGATGGGAGAGGGGTCCCGTGGGTGTGTTTTTAGTGGCTGCATAAAGAGGTTTAGTTAGGCAGGCAAAATTAGGTATTCAGTGGTGGAAGAATCCTACAAACTCTAAAAAGGAAAGAATTTGGTTAGCCATCTCTGGAGGCTGTAGTGAAAGGAGTGCCTTTTGGTGGTTTGTTGTTAGGCTTTTAGTTGTAGGGGTGAGGCGAATGCCTAAGTAGACTACAGAGGTGACTGATAACTGTGCCTTGGAGGGAGATACCCAGTACCCTTGAGATCCCAGAAAGTTAAGGAGAGTGGCGGTATGCTGCTGAGACAGGGAGAGAGAGGGGCTACAAAGTAACAGGTCATTCACATACTGAAGAAGGAGACTGGGTTGAAGGCGACAGGAGCTAAGATTAGCTGCTAAGGCTTGTCCGAAAATATGGGGGCTGTCTCTGAATTCCTGGGACAGGACTGTCCAGGTGAACTGTTGCGACAGTTGGTGTCTGGATCAGTCCAAGTGAAGGCAAAGAGAAAGTAAGACTCAGGGTGTAGGGGAATGGTAAAGAAGGCATTCTTGAGGTTAAGAACTGTAAAATGGGGCCGGGCGCGGTGGCTCAAGCCTGTAATCCCAGCACTTTGGAGGCCGAGGCGGGTGGATCACGAGGTCAAGAGATTGAGACCATCCTGGTCAACATGGTGAAACCCCGTCTCTACTAAAAATACAAAAAATTAGCTGAGCATGGTGGTGCATGCCTGTAATCCCAGCTACTCAGGAGGCTGAGGCAGGAGAATTGCCTGAACCCGGGAGGCGGAGGTTGCGGTGAGCTGCAATCATGCCATTGCACTCCAGCCTGGGTAACAAGAGTGAGACTCTATCTCAAAAAAAAAAAAAAAGTAAATCCAACCATACAAAGATTAATCAATTGTGGCAGGCACGGTGGCTCACACTTATAATCCCAGTACCTTGGGAGGCCAAGATGGGAGGATCACTTGAGCCCAGGAGTTTGAGACCAACCTGGGCAAGATGGTGAGACCTCATCTCTACAAACATTTTAAAAATAAATAAATTAGACCAGGCATGGTGGCTCACGCCTGTAATCCCAGCACTTTGGGAGGCCAAGGCAGGTGGATCACAAGATCAGGAGTTCAAGACCAGCCTGGCCAACATGGTGAAACCCTGTCTCTACAATAAAAATAAAAATAAATAAATAATCTAGACATGGTGACACATGCCAGTAATCCCTGCTAGCTGGGAACCTGGGATGGGAGGACTGCTTCAGCCCAGGAGTTCAAGGCTACAGTGAGCTCTGATCACACCACTACACTCCAGCCCAGATGACAGAGAGAGGCCCTGTCTTTATTTAAAAACAAACAAATATCAATCAATTTTATTTATAGACCAGGCGTGGTAACTCACACCTGTAATCCCAATACTTTGGGATGCCGAGGCAGGAGGATGACTCGAGCTCAGGAGTTTGAGACCAGCGTGAGCAATATAGTAAGACCTCATCTCTATAACTTTATTCAAAACAATCAAAATAAAATTTATATATATATATATATATATATATAATTGTATTTCTATATACTAGCAATAAACATGTGAAAACCAAAACAAAATTTTTTACAGACAAGATCTCACTACATTGTCCAGACCATTCTTGAACTCCTGGAATCAAGTAGCTCTCGTCTTAGCCTCTGGAGTATCTGGGACTACAGGTGCACGCCCTTCTTCATTTACAATCACTTCTTTAAAAAGACCATAAAATTGTTAGGGATAAATCTAATAAAACGAACAAGACTAGTGTACGAAAAAACTACAAACTTATTTATTCAGATTTCCCTATAAGGGAAAATAGCTGGGATTACAGGCGCACACCACCATACCCAGCTAATCTTTGTATTTTTAACAGAGACAGGGTTTCGTCATGTTGGCCAGGCTAGCCTCAAACTCCTGACCTCAGGTGATCCACCCACCTCAGCCTCCCAAAGTGCTGGGATTACAGGCATGAGTCATCATCCCCAGCCTAAACAAGATTATTCTAAAATTAAATGAAAAATAAAGGTTTCAAATAACTAAAACTATTTTGAAAAACTACAAGAGGATTTAGTCAGCTTCAGTAATCAAGACTGTGAAATACTCATGGAGAGATAAACATAGATTAATAGAACAGAGAACCCAGAAGTAGATTTATACTTCCCCCAGATTAAAAGCTTTTGCTCTGGCTGGGCAAAGTGGCTCACACCTATAATCCCAGCACTTTGGGAGGCCAAGGAGGCTGGATCACTTGAGGTCAGGAGTTTAAGATGAGCCTGGCCAACATAGTGAAACCCTGTCTCTACTAAAAATACAAAAATTAGCTGGGCATGGTGGCACATGCCTGTAGTCCCAGCTACTTGGGAGGCTGAGGCAGGAGAATCACTTGAACCCGGAAGGCAGAGGTTGCAGCGGGTCGAGATCACACCATTGCACTCCAGCCTGGGCAACAGAGTGAGACTCTGTCTCAAAAAAAAAAAAAATTAGCCAAATGTGGTGGTGCATGCCTGTAATCCCAGCTACTACAGAAGCTGAAACAGAACAATTGCTTAAACCTGGGAGGTGAAGGCTGCAGTGAGCTGAGATAACTCATTGCACTCCAGCCTGGGCCACAGAGCAAGACTCCATGTCAACAACAACAAAAAAGCAAAAAGCAATGCATGACCCATGTGTGATATCTATTGGATGCTTATTTTATTCAGAGTTCTCTACACTACGGCTGCTTAGAAGGGAAATGGTTTCCCAACGCTTTGTGAACCATGGGCATTATTCAGCCTAGAGCTCCTAGTAATTGTTTCTCCATTGGCCTGAGCTTCTTGCCATGCCTGATGGCTCTTCACCTTCACGGGCACAACAAACTAGTTTTCTGGTTGTTACATGTATTATTGACAGTTTTCTTGTTCTTTGTGACAGAAGTACAAGTCTATAGGAATTACTTCCTCATGGGTAGAAGACCAATTCCTGGCAATAATTTTGTACCTAACCTCTGCGTATTTATTACTCCATGAGGCTGATGCTATTGGTTGAAACATTTACAAAAGTGCAAGCTGAATTCTGTTTGAAGAGTTAGTAAAAATAGTCATACCTCTTTATATGTGCCAAGAGAATAAAGATTTGTACATAGCAAGCTGGATGTGGTGGCTATGCCTATAATCCTAGCACTTAGGGAGGCCGAGGCCAGCAGATCACCTGAGGCCAGGGGTTCCAGAAGAACCCGGCCAACATGGAAAAACCCCGTCTCTATTAAAAATACAACAATTAGCTGGGTGTGGTGGTGCATGCCTGTAATCCCAGCTACTCAGGAGGCTGAGACAGGAGAATCTCTTGAATCCAGGAGGCAAAAGTTGCAGTGAGCCAAGATCACACCATTGTACTCCATTCTGGGTGACAAGGGCAATACTCTGTCTCAAAAAAAAAAAAAAAAAAAAAAAAAAGGTTTGTACATAGCAATTCAAGCTTCAGAAATTTTTTTTTTTTTTTTTTGAGACGGAGTTTCGCTCTTGTTGCCCAGGCTGGAGTGCAATGGCACGATCTCGGCTCACCGCAACCTCCGCCTCCTGGGTTCAGGCAATTCTCCTGTCTCAGCCTCCTGAGTAGCTGGGATTACAGGCACACGCCACCATGCCCAGCTAATTTTTAGTATTTTTAGTAGAGACGGAGTTTCACCATGTTGACCAGGATGGTCTCGATCTCTTGACCTTGTGATCCACCCGCCTCGGCCTCCCAAAGTGCTGGGATTACAGGCTTGAGCCACCGCGCCCGGCCCAGAAATTTTTTTTTCATAAATATTTTTATTTAAAGTATGTTTTGGAGGCCAAGGCGGGTGAATCACTTAAGGCCAGAAGTTGAAAAGCAGCCGGTTCAACATGGTGAAATGCCTTTTGTATTTTACAAAAAATACAAAACAGCTGGGAGTGGTGCTGCACGCCTGTAATCCCAGCTACTCCGGAGGCTGAGGCAGGAGAATTGCTTTAACCCAGGATGTGGAGGCTGCAGTGAGCTAAGATCACACCACTGCACTCCAGCCTGGGCAACAAAGCAAGACTCTGTCTCCAAATAAATAAATAAATAAATAAATAAATTTTGGGGGCCAGGAAGGGTGACTCACCCCTGTAATCCCAGCACTTTGGGAAGCCAAGATGAGACCATTTGAAGCCAGCAGTTTGAGATCAGCCTTGGCAGCATAGTGAGACCCTGTCTCTACCAAAAAAATTAAAACTACAAAAATTAGCCAAGCATGATGGCACATGCATGTAGTCCCAACCACTTATGAGGCTGAGGTATGAGAATCTCTTGAGCCCAGAATTTCAAGGCTGCAGTGAGGTACAATTGTGCCACTGCACTCCAGCCTGGGTAACAAGAGCGAAACTCTGTTTTTTTTTAAAAAAAAAAAAAAAAAGCCAGGCGTGGTGGCTCAAGCCTGTAATCCCAGCACTTTGGGAGGCTGAGATGGGTGGATCACGAGGTCAACAGATCGAGACCATCCTGGTCAACATGGTGAAACCCCATCTCTACTAAAAATACAAAAAATTAGCCGGGCATGGTGGCACGTGCCTGTAATCCCAGCTACTCAGGAGGCTGAGACAGAATTGCCTAAACCCAGGAGGCGGAGGTTGCGTTGAGCCGAGATCGTGCCATTACACTCCAGCCTGGGTAACAAGAGCGAAACTCCGTCTCAAAATAAATAAATAAATAAATAAATAAATAAATAAATAAATAAATAAATAAAAGCTAACAATCATCTTTTTGCTGGTAGAGGGTCTTGCCTCAATGTTGATAACTGCTGACTCATCAGAGTGGTGGTTTGCTGAAGGCTGGGATGGCTGTGTAATTTCTGAAAATAAAATGACAAT